AAAAAAAAACAAAACCCCCCCCCCCCCCCCCCCCCAAAAAAAAAAAAAATAGCTTTAAGAATAGTTGAATGATGAAAACTGATTCCTTTAAGTAACCACATATTGCTGGCATTCACAATTTCAAGTTGCATTTGAATCTGATTTCTAATATACCTCAGCGTTACAAGTTGGGTAAATTACGTCTATTATTCGTTAGTTACTAATAAGTCCTATTTTTCCTTTAATGAACTATTAAGTCCTATCATATTTATCTTAGAACAATTATTTCATACTTTTGATAATTTATCCCTAAGAAGTCCTAAACTCTATTAATGCTTTGTTTTGTTCCAATTTTATCATTTCCATGAACACACAAATTATATTTTTATTTATAATTTTGCATTCAATTTTATTTATTAGAATAGGATTTTTGTATATTTAATTAAAATCCAAGTAAGTCATACCTTTAATTATCAAAGCATCTACCTTACTGACATGCAGTAGTTCTTATGTGACTGAATCCTATATAGTATAAAAGTCATAATATACATAAATACCTTTTTTTTTTTGTATGCCTTAAAATAGTAATTTTATTCTAATCAATTCAAAATGTGGAAGAGGAAATACAAAAAAGTGTAATTAGATGAGCTTTTCAGTAATTGTATTCATAAATTAGTTTTTACATTGTTAATTTATGTAACTATGTCTTTATTGTTGATATTTGATACTCAGGTGAGTTGCAATTCATACACTTAAAAAAGTTAAATATAAAAATAAACATAGTTTGTATGATTTATAATTTTTACAAGTCTTTATTGTTAATTACGTGTTTCGAATGTTATACACTAATTAGAGAAAAAAATTAATTTGCTTTGGGACATTACTAACAAAAAATATTAATAAAAATATAATTGGTGTGTTGTTGGGAAGGATAAAATTAGAACAAATCATATTGTTGTTGGAGTTTAAGACTTCTTGAGAATAAATTATCAAAAATACGACTTAATTGTTCTAAGATAAATATGATAGGACTTAATGGTTCTATCGAAGAAAAAGTGAGATTTTTTGGTATTTTTTCCTAAATTATAAGTTCAATTAATCTTCCAAGGTGGGTAAACTATACTTTTCATCCTTAAACTATAACCTCGATACGTTCTATTCTTTGAACTTCTCATATTAGTCGTCGACAAATGAATTGGTTTCTTATCATACCAAAACCAAACTATTATACCAAAATTGTGTCACTAAATTTTAGCACAAATGAAACAAAAATCAATAATTCCAAGGTAAAATGAAAACTTTCCATCTAATATGCAAAAGACATTTGCAAGTGAGACAACAAAAACAAACCATAGTTAAAAGTGCAATGGAAAAATCATGACAGTTGACAAGATACCATGAGAATGGAGACATAATTTAGGAGATCAAAGAGCAATTCCTTATGTCATCACCTGATTGTTTAATAGGAGTGTGAAAATATAACTCAACCCGTTAACACATACAAAATTAATGAATTTTAGTCTTCCTTAAATCACTCGTTCATAAATGAGTGGACCCGACACGATTAGTAAACGAAGAGGATATAAATGAAATCACTCAAAAGTAAACACAATACGACTCGTTTATATATCAATTATACATGATTCATTTATAACATGAACCCAATATGACAATTTATTAAACACAAATCAACAAACAAATAAGAAATGAGTAAGTTTCTTTTAACAATAACCCCCTAAGACCTGATACAAACCTGTACCACTTAACACGATTAACAAACCTAATTGTCTTTAAGATAAGATAATGCCTTTGAAATTATAAGAATCACTACTTTGTAAATTCCCCAATCTAAATTGTACCTAATCTGGGGCTGCAAATTGTTGAGATACAAATATTGAAGGCATTGGAAAAGATAAATCAGCAACCCCATACACCGAGGTGGAAGAGAACAAGAATAAAAAAGTAAGACTCCTCATCCTTGTACCTTGCATGAACAGTATACATAGTCTCCACAAAATTTTCATTTCTACATGATAAAAAGAGATTCAATAGGCAGAAAAATGTTCTTTATTGACGTTGTTATGAGTAAAGGTTTTAAGAGCTCCTCAAAACTACAGTAACAGAAGCATGAGGCAAATGCCAGGGCACTGCACTAAAAAAACATTTTCAATATTCAGGAAAAAAGAAACATTATAGTCTAGTCCGCGTCCCAAGCAGAAGAAAAAATTATGGTAGGGAGAAAGACACCATCTCTGTTCTACGGCCCGCTATTTACAGATAGATAGATGGCATTTTGTTCAACTGCTAATAACCAATCACTCTAGCATTACCTCCTCAAGAAGGTCGTTGGTTACATATACATGGAAGAGATCGGAATAATATTTCATTCTAGATTTGCATATAGATTAGCAGTTCCCACAGAGAAACTCGTGTCTTGCTAACAACTGGCACTGAAATAGCAGTAGTCTTCTGCTGCTGCTTTGTAGAGACTCGTTCGCGTTTTCTCACCAGAGAGAAATTGAGCACTAAGCAGCATCCCTCTCCGGATTTATTTGTTGAAGAGCTTGGGGCAAGTTCAATACAATCTCGGCATACGCTGGATGAGAGAAGGCAGAGAAATGAAAAAACAAGTCAATAGAGATCATTTTCATCAAGGAAACATATATCTGGCAAAAAAATGAATGATAAAATAAGCTACGGCAAAGAAGTCATCTAGGCTTCAACTCATTTACCCAAATCAAGCCTGATATACTTACAGTGTGAATAACAACTGATAAAATTATTAAGCGGAGAAAAATAAAGTTATTCGAACAGGTTGCAATGGTATGGTATACTTCTGAAATGATTTTTGGTGACAAAAACGAAAACACGAGGGAGACAAAGAAAACTAGCAAATAAAAATTTGAAAGAGTCGGTTGTCCAAAAAGTTGATATGATCCAAAATCAGTGTCAATCTTTACTTTCCTGCCAGTTAAACGTTGACTGAAAGACCGGAAGGACAGAATTAAAAGTGTGCCGACTAGCAAGGGTACCTCCCACGAAAAACTGTCCAAGATCCAAAATGCCTTCACAAAATGTAGAGACCTTGGCAAAGTATCACCTATTGGTATTTGCGTAGATGTATAAAACTTCATTAAGAAGAAGTCAACCTTCAGGTAAACTCATAGTTCGCAATGCATCCTCTGCATAAGATAGACGTGCTGGAATAGGGTGACTTCCTAATGCTCCATTTCCCTTCCTGTTCATTGTAGTTGCACTTGCAGAAGATTTATTGGATTGGTGGAGATGCCATGCCAAGACACTCACTTGAGTCGGAAGTATAGACATGAGATCTGCATATCTAAGACTGACTGTTACCTTGCTGCAACAAGAAAATAAACTTAGCACAATTAAGTACTTTGAAACTAAAAGAGAAATTAGATGCTAAGAGAGAAACCTATCTTTTCTTCACCATAAAGAACATCATTGAATCAATGGCTAGCAAAAACCTACTAAAAGTAGATCTAAATAAAAGGTTTCATCAACTCACGCGTTTACAGCACTCTAACTAACATTTGTATGGATGCACGACACGGTTGCAAAGATAAAGTCCATTGATGCCCAACACAGTTGCAAAGATAAAGACCCATCAAAATGCAAACTTTACACATTACATAAGCATGACAGATTGCAGCTCTTGTTACAGCATGTCACTTCAGCTCCTGTTACAGCATGTCACGTCAGCATTCACTTGTAAAAATTTGACAATCAATCGATCGACAACTCCGCCCTATAAGTTGTAGTCCAATCTCCAAGGTCCAAATGGTAGGATGTGTACGCAAGCTTTAGTGTCTCCAAGTAGGGACAACTCCAAACACTACCAAGCTAGTTAACTTCCAATTTAAGATACATAACAGAAGTTTTCCGTGTGTTCCTAAGTAGAAGTTAGAAAAATAGCCCAGGAAACAGGGAAAATAGAAATGCCTAAAAGTTAAGCTCAAAAAGAACTACAAATTCACACTTAAAAACATCTTTCCTTATTATAACCCAAACATCTTCTCCTTCCTGCATTTTTTACACTTCTTTTCTAGTTCTCTTTCTGTCACTTGCATTGGAAAAAAGTACCGAATTGCATGTTGTTGACATGATTATTGTGGTTATTCCCTTGAATAATTTCGACCATTTTGATGAGCAAGAAAGTACACAATGCTTAGGAATTTTGGTGTTTATTAAGTATAGAAAAGAGTAATACTTTGAACAGGTTATCATTCAAGTACTTAAAGTCCTCTGACACAGCTACCAGGCTTGGAAAAGACTTTCAAAATATCATTCCCCACCATCTTTACTTTTATCAAAGCCTGTTAGCAAAAGTCCTCGAGAACAAAGATCAAAATTTCGCTTTGGTGAGGAAACGAAAACATTTTGACTTGTTTCAAAAACGCTTGAACTTGTTTCAAAAACAGAATAGAAACGAATAAAAAATTTGAGAATTATTTTTTCAAAAACATTGGTCGAAATATACCAAAGCAACTTGAATTACCATGAAATATTCCAAAATAATTGTGTAAATGCGTCAAAATATTATGAAATACCTCGAAATATTAGAATTTTGATTTCATCACTAATACGTTTCGGTCTCTTTGGAAACAGAAGCGTTTTGGCTGTCTCAAAATAAAATTTTGATCCTTGCTCGAATAAATCTATCCCCAAAATGGACTTACACTTCCAAATACCTAGGCCAGATAGACCCATTTTGTCAGGCACGCACAACCGAAGATAATGACACCCACTTTTTGATGACCAACAAGCAAGATGAAGCCAGGGCCCGGGTTGAAGCTATAATTGTAACAGAGATAAAAAACGTGAGTGCAAGGGCGCTCATTTTGGCTCCCTCTGCTCGCCTACACGCAAAAACCACGATCGTTGAACACCCTAACCAGCAAGTCTCTCCTGCACCATTTGGAATGGATTGAAAAAAGTATGGTGGCCTCCTACATGTTCAATAAAAAAACATCTCTGAAACGACCTGACTGATCTCTCTCCGAACGTTTTGAGGATGACAAAATAAATTCCTATAGTAGTCCTATTTATTGCCTACTGAGTAATTACTAACAACACGCAAGAAAGAGCGTTAGAGTTTGTAATGTCTGCAGCTATACCCAATGATTTGTCTCTTACTGATCATATTTATTAGAAAGAAAATTAAATGACAAGACTTTGATCCAATGATATTCTTTACCTTGTAAAGGATTTGTCTTCTTGAGGTTCTCAAGGATTCAAGTATCCCTCCCCCTCCCCCTCCCCCCCCAAAAAAAATATATTAAAAAGGAACTAAATATAGGTTACTTCAACAAATTAAGCCCAATCTACAGTTCAGCATAATCAATCTTTTCTTTAACCTCTGTCAACTCTTTACGGCTAACCCCTTCTTGATCTAGTATACAACATCTACTGTATAGTGCTGTCATAACAACAAAATCAATTTCCATCAATTATGTAAGTTCTATCAATGACAGAGCACCATCCCATCAAATATCTTTAGTTTTTTTTTAAACCAAGGAATCACCTGTTATAAGCAAATAAGTTCAAGAAGAGAAGAAAAAAGAAGAAACAAACATCGCATAGCAGAAGGAAATCGTATTTGGGAAGCTATAGGGGGGGGGGGGGGAAATCAAAACATCAAACAGTGGCCGCAACACAAAAAAGGCTGGCAGAAATGGACCTACCAATCAAAATCAAGGACAAATTCAATCATATGATATGGAAGACTATGATACAGTTCCCCAATTTGATTCCCATACAACTCCTTGATAAGGCGAATCTGTATAAGAACAAGAGAAGAAAATGTGAGAGGCATGTTCAACCGTCTTGGATTTTCATAAAGTAAGCCAAAAATACACTTGGGCATATGTGGAAGCAAAAGGCAGATCTTTTCAGAAAGCCTCAAAGCTTCTGTGATATTTAATGGGTCAAATCTTTAACTTGATAGCTGAGTGGTCTTATGCATTTAATAACTGTAGAGAATTAGATAGCAGATTATCAAAATCCTGCTCCTCTTCCTGGGGTAAGTTTTCTTAGATATTGTATATTTCTATAGCGTACTGCTTTATTGATTCATGTATTCACCCAATTATAGCTGAAAGGCTTCAAACACTGCTTTGAAAAAGCCAGAGGAAATTGCACTGAAAACATTCTAAAAATGTGCATGTCATATAACCAATAGGCTAATGCAAGTCAATATGGCGAGAGGTGATTTGGTAACAGTGCATAACAGTAGAAATCTATATGCCTGACAATGTATAACTGCTCAGCCTGATGACCTTTCTTGTGGTTCCAATATGTAATATATGAAATTGAAAGAAAGAAGAGAAAAACACCAATTAGTCCTACTTTACCTTCCATAAAACAATTGAGTCCTACCAAGTTTATACATTGTCAGGCAGACAGATTTCAAAAAAGTCCTACTTTATAGGTTGTTCCAAAAAAGTCCTAAATTTCATTATTATCCTTTTTTACCCTTTTAAGCATTACTTACAAAAACGCATTGTCCTCTGTCAAGTGACTAACCACGAAAAAAGACCTTCAAGGGGTGGAATTTTTTTCTTCATTGCACCACTGTCCACTTCACTAATCTTAGATATGTATGTATGTGTATATATATATATATATATAAATATATATGATGTCGAACTATAATATCAAAAAATAACTTTTTGGTACAATACCTCCACTTTTCATCAAACAAAAACATGACGTGTAAAAATTTTTGTTTTATTAGTTTGTTATTTTGTAATATTATATCATACTGATAATCAATAGCTAAAAATTAATCAAACAAAATCTATGGCTATAAATCAATTCTAATACAGTAGCGAATTTTAAGTGCTGCAAGTGACATTAGTTTAGTCAAATGGGAGAATTATAATATTATTCATCAGTTATCAAAATACGCACAATATCAAGCGATTGACATGTGAACATACTAAAAGATATGAGGTTTGATGTCCCCATGGAATATATTTTTAGTGTTTGGATTGATAAGTTCTTCTAGAACTAAAGGTTATTATTACATTTTGCTAGAACTAATGGTGTGCCTGGTCTATAATTTCATAAATCAAATTCTCACATTTTATTTGATTATTTTGTAATGAATATATCTACATTCAATTGATTTTTCAAAAAAAAATTTAATAATAATAATTTTGACATGAAAGGAGTCGGATATTCTGCCTACTTAAAGATATAAAAAATAAATGATTTTTAAATTAACTACAAGTTGTTATGAAATTTGATAAAAGTGTAACTCATATTTTCATGAGAAAGGGTAAAATTGGTATATTTTATACATTTAATGAAGTCTTGAACCTTTTTGGAATAGATGAAGAAAGATAGGACTTAGTTGTTTTAGTAGAAATTTGATAAGAATTAATGGCATTTTGAAAAAAGAAAACAAAAAAGTAGGACTAAAGGCACCACCCTGGATAGTAGTAACTGATTTGAGGTGTGCCTTCTGAAGCATGGAACATATTAGTCGTTAATTCAAGAAAATGAGCACCAAACTTGTACTAAAAAACATAAAGGAAAGTCAATTGCTGGTAGTTCAAGAAATGTGATCGGTAGTGTTATTATTCCTGAGGGGGTGGCAGGCATTACTCTTCTTTGTCAATATCCATCACATATACAAAAACACACGTTAAATTGATGAGAGCTAACTATGATCTAAAGAGGAATTCTCAAACAAGACTACAACATTTGGAAGGAAAAAGAAGGCCCAATTCTTTTCCTTCCTTCTTTTTACCTTTCTTGCTTCCTTTTTATCTGTCAGCTTTTCTTTTATGATGCCCTAGTGCTTGGAGCCACAAAAGAGAAAGCATAGAGATATGTTGGTTTGGGATTGTGGCGCATCTACCTAAGGAGTTCAAATGCTTTGAATATGTGCTACAAGAGGCATGAAATTTCAATGCATACATATAACCAACATATTGATGACAATTTTTGGAACAAAGCTTCCAAAATATCCTGTATCAGTTAAGAGATATAGTTATCAAGTGAAAGATACTTGGTGGTGAAGATTTGAAAATATAATTTAGGAAGCAATTATTTATGTCCTGTTTGACCAAAAATTTCCTCCGTAATTTTACACATCAAAAGTACAGTTCCTTTTCGTCTATAAATTTTTCCAAGGTCAGAATGTAATTTGTTTTTGCCAAAATTATCCTAAGGTGGTTTGGAGTCCAATTAAGTAAAAGACATACATATTTCAAATTTAACTAGTCTTCTCTGGAAGGCTGATAAGCCCTATGAAAACAATTCTGGCCACAAAGGAAAAGCAGCATTGCATTGACTAAACTTCTTTATCCGCAGTTTCACCACCTAGATGGCTTCACAGAAGAGGCACAGGGCACCATCAAAAAACTGGTATTGTGGTAATGTTATGAAGGAAGATGTGTAATGATAAAAAAGTAGCCATCATCAATGTTCAGTATATCACAAGAGAGAGAGAGAGAGAGAGAGAGAGAGAGAGAGACATAATTGAATAGGAAGAGAAAAACCAAAAATCAATTGATCATGGAGAGAGTTATATAGTTACACATATGGAATAGGGTAATGACCCTATTGCCCCTAACTCACTAACACTCCCCCTCAAGCTGAACTAAAGATATCAAATAGTCCTCACTTGGAACAAAGAATACTAATTTTATCTCTGCTAAGTGACTTGGTAAAAGTATCTGCCAACTAATCTGCACATCTTACAAAACAAGTAGTAATCTCCTTAGACCGAAGTTTTTCACAAACAAAATGGTAATCAATCTCAATATGTTTTGTTCGTTCAAGAAAAATTGAATTCAAAGCAATATGAACTGTAGCCTGATTATCACAAAAGAATTGCATTGGAAAGGTTACTATAATGCCAATCCATGCAGTAAATTCTTTAGCCATATCAATTCACCCATAGTCTAAGCCATTGCCTATATTCTACCTAGGCACTAAATCAGACCATAACACTCTGTTTCTAACTTTTCCAGGTCACCAATTCCCTCCTAAGAATGAGCAATATCCTATAGTACATCTTCTATCTAATGGGGAACCAACCCAATCTGCATCGGTAAAACCAACTACCTGTAAATGTCTATGAGCTCTATATAATTATCCTTAACCAACAGTCTTTTTCAAATATCTCAAAATTCTAATCATTGCATCCCAATGAGGTACTCTTAGAGATTCCATAAATTGACTCACAAAACTAACCAAAAAAGAGATATATTGTCCTGTAATAGTCAAGTAATTCAATTTTCCCACTAGTAGTCTATACCTTTCTAAATGTTTAAATAACTCCCCCCGTTCTGTGGTTAGTCTTGTATTAGATTTCATGAGAGTATCAACTGGTTTTGTACCTGTTAGTCCTTTTTCACCAAGTAGATCCAGTACACACTTGCGTTGAGACAAAATTAATACCACTCTTGGATTTAGATACCTCCATTCCAAGAAGTACCTCAACTTACTCAAATCTTTAATATGAAGTTTTTGTTACAAGAATGCTTTTAGAGCAATAATATGTTCGCTGTCACTCCCCGTGATACCAATATCGTCCACATAGACAACTAAAATGATCATGCTAAACTCAACATTCTTACCAAACACCGAGTGATCTGCTTGGCACCGTTGAAGTCCAAAGTCTAACACTGCTTCACTAAATTTGTCAAACCAAACTCTAGATGATTGTTTTAGGCCACATATCACTTTCTTTAATTGGCGTACCTGACCACTAAACTCCCTCCGAGCAACAAACCCAGGTGGTTATTCCATATAAACTTCCACAATCAATTCACTGTGCAAAAAAAAAATTGACATCTAATTGAAACAATGGCTATTGAAAATTGGCAGCTAGAGACATAACTCAAGCTTATGAAATCTTTGAAACTAGTGAAAAAGTTTCAACATAATCCACACCATACATCTGAGTAAAACCCTTGGCAACTAGTATGGCTTTTAATCTCTCAACGTAACCATTAGGCAAGTACCTGATAAAATACACCCATCAACTAATTTCTTCTCAGGAGGAAGGTCGACAAGTGTCCAAGTCTAGTTTTGATGCAGACCAAGGAGCTCATTTTCCATAGCCTGACGCCACCCAAGATGAGCAGAAGTTTCATAAATAGTGTGAGGAGTTTCATAAATAGTGTGAGGAACAGAAGAAGACAAAATAGATGATGTAAAACAACAAAAGATGGAAGACAAGCTATCAAAGAAAAGAAACTGTTCAATAGGATGAGTGGTAGAACTCGTGAGAAGGGTACAAGAGCGCTTACCTTTTCGAAGTGCAGTAGGAAAATCGACATCCTCAGATGGAACCTTTTGGACGACTGAGAGAGTGGTAGGCGCATCAGAACGACAGTCCTTTTTGCGACGGGAGTACAGCTACGTGATAATAGGTTTTGCAGTATGAGAGAAAGTGGGTGAAGACATAACTAGAAAAGGCAAAGAAAAAGAACACTGGTTGAATGCAACATCATTCGAAACTTGAGAAAAGAAATGAACAAACTCGAAGAATATAACATCAGCACAAACAATCTGACGACAGTTGAATTATAGCATTTATACCTTTTTTGTGTGCATGAATAACCCAAGAAAACACACTTGACAGATTTAGGATCAAGTTTGTCTGTGCCTAGACGTAACTGATGAACAAAAGGCTACACAACCAAAGACACATGGTGGAGTAGAGAACAAAGGACGATCAAGAAATACAAGTGAGTAGGGAATTTGACCATTAAGAACAGTCCAAGGCATACGATTAATTAGGTAGCATACAGTACGTACAACATCACTCTAAAAAATTTTAGTGACTTTCATAAGAAATAAAAGGGCACAAGCAACTTCAATGAGGTGGTATTTTTTCCTTCGACTACCCTATTTTGTTGTGGGGTGTCACTACATGAAGTGGACTGAAGCAAGCCGTGAACAGTGAAAAAATCACAAAATGGATGAGACAGACATTCTTTTGCATTATCAAATTGTAAAGTGTGCACACACACATCAAATTGAGACTTGATTGCCATAATAAAGGCTTTAAAAATAGAAAATAATTTAGAATGATCTTTCATTAAAAGTAGCTCGGTCATCCTAGAAAAATCATCTACAATGGTAACAAAACACTTAAACTCTGAATAAGAATAAGGACGACTAGGCCCCAAATATCATAATGAACAACTTCAAATAAACTAGCGACACGATTACAAATTCTAGAAGTAAATAGACTCCGAGCATGTTTACCTAACTAACATGACTCACAATCCAAAGACGACAAGTGACGCAATTGAGGAACTAACTGCTAAAGACTTCGCAAAGATGAATGACTAAGCCGACAATGCCACTAGTGTGGAGAACATGAAGTGTGCAAAACAGAACTACAAGCAGGGATTGCATCAAGATAGTAAAGACCAGTGTTTTGAAAAGCTCGCCTAGGTGAGAAGTAAGAAGCGAGGCGAGCTTATCTCGCCAGGAGGACCCCAGGCGAAGCGAACGTGAGCGAAGCGAGAAAAAGCGAAGAAGCGAAAAGGCGAACGTTTTATTATAAGAGGCGATTTTGCTCCTTTTTTTTTTTTTTCTGATCACAGGTTAGTAGTCTCTTTTATTTTTTAATCACTGATGACTATTTTTTTAGACTATCTCTGGTCTTTTTTTTTTTTTTCTAATAAGTAATGTTCCGAATAAAACACATTCCTTTTTTTTCCTTGTGTTACTGAATTCATTTAGAATATTTATGGGATGTGGGAGTCAGACGACTATATAGCAAAATTATGATAAAGAAATGAAGCAAGAGTATCAGGAATGGGGGTAAATAATAGAGTCTTCTACAAAGAAGTGTCTCTGATATGTCTTGGTTATACTTTTCCCTTTTCTTATATATATACAAATGGTACCAAAAAGTAGTCTATATTTATACCATATTTAATTATTTTAGTACATGTGAAATGTGCCTCTGTTCTGCTTTTTTTATTTAGTATATAATTACATATGAAATTGTTTACAATTGATTCTGCTCCTGTCATGATCATTGTGCTTCTGTTTTTTTTTTAGCTCATTCTGCTTCTATTTTTTTTGTTGATTCTGTTGCTGCTTTGGTTTTGCTGTTCTGTGCTGCTTCTGTTTTTTTTTTATCCTCATTTTGCTTCTTTTTTTTTTTTTTGTTGCTGATTCTGCTACTATCCTGATCCTGCTTCTTTTGTTGTTCTACCCTGTCAATATGAAAATGTATACAATTGTTAGTATTTGTTTAAATTTAAATGTTTAAGTTATGACTGTTATTAAGATTTGAGATATTATTAGTATTTGTTTTAATTTAAATGTTTATGGTTTTACTTGCATTTAAATATTTAGTATATATAAAATTAGAACTTAGATTGTTTAGAAGTAATTAAACTAAAATATATATATTTTTTAACTGTCCGTTTTGCTTCGGTAAAGCATGTCGCTTCGCTTCTCGCTTCTCGCCTAGGCGTTAGGAGCCTTGGTCGCTTAGGTTCGCTTTACGCCTTAAATAACACTGGTAAAGACCACTGTCTTTATGATCTCCACCAATCATCTTCCTCGACTGGAGGTCCTAAAACAAACAAAAAGAAGGATAAAATATGACTGAACAATTTAAAATTTTAGTAAGCTGACTCCCAGATCAATGTTATGAAAAGAGAGCCTAGGTGTTCGCCTAGACGAGAAGTGAGACAAACGACCCTATGTCACCTAGAACTGGCTACGTTCGTTACCCCCTTAGCCATTAGCAGCATTTAGCATCGGGTAGCCTCGCCTATAGGCACCCATGCCTTAGCCAAAATGACAGAAGTCTCATTCATGACTGAGGGAGGCAGTCCATACACATGGGTACATGGGCACAAGTCAGCATGCAAGCAAGGAAACGGGCGGCTTGAATTGTGAGGCGATGTTAGCTTGAATAATGAGCCATGGGTTGGGCTATGGTTAGGCACGAATTTAATGCAATTCGGATACTAAGGGCTCCTGACACATACACAACATGTGAGAAAGTTGAGCATGTGCTCTGCAGATGGTGGCAGTTCTAGGCAGTTTTCTAGCAAAGTGCATTGCATGCGGGATCTCTGTCAGATTCAGACAAGTATGCAGACACCAGTTATAACTTCCCTGTCATCCAATCACAGCAGACCTCTGGTAGCATTTGAATTACAGACATGTGCCTAAGCAGTTGGACTTGTAACTGCCACCCTGAATATTATAAATAGGGTGTTTAGGGTCTGTAGTGCAACAAGGGAGTTGGCACATTTTTGTAAACAGACCCCATGGTTGAGTTCCTTATACTTTATTGAGAAAGAAAGGTTTGACTGTTGCCTGTAAATTTTGTGCGCCTTGCCTGTGTGTTTACTTACTGTCCATTCTCTGTTTTATGTGCATTTTGTGTGCATTCTAAGTGTTTGACTGAGACTAAGTGTTGAATCTTAGTGCCATCACGAGACAGAAATTTGGTGAGAAATTTAACTCCGTGACAATTGGTATTAG